AATTACAAATAGTGCTGACATAGGGGATAATCTTTTGGAAAATGAGGCATGACAATAGTTAGTTCAAAACAGTAAGGAACAGTGTTTGTGACTGCAAATAGACTCTTATTTTTCTTTTGCAATACATATTGAAATAGTTTACCCTCATCTAAATGAATTCAATCACACTATTTCTGTGGCATGGTACAAGTTTTATTATTGTTCTTGTGGTTGTTGTTTTTAAAAAATGTTTTGGAGTTATTTTTATCACCGGTGTCATTTTTCCCATTTGCTTGCAGGTCTTTTTTGTGATTCACTTACATGCTGGACCTGTAATAAACACCCTGCCTCCCATTGTGGACCCTGATCCGTTACTTAGCTGTGATTTGATGGACGGGCGAGATGCCTTCCTTACTTTAGCAAGAGATAAGCACTGGGAGTTCTCCTCCTTACGCCGATCCAAGTGGTCCACACTGTGCATGCTCGTAGAATTACATACGCAAGGGCAGGACCGTTTTGTCTATACGTGCAATGAGTGCAAGCACCATGTGGAAACAAGGTGGCATTGTACTGTCTGTGAGGTATGTGCAAATGTGTCTGACTTTCTTGTTTTCCTTTCTTTCCATGCTTTTCCTTCTAAATGTGCCTCTTTCTCCTTAAATGTCTCCTTAAACTGCCCATAGTCAGAAACTGATTCTGAGCTAGGTTTAGAGCTTGTCAGCATGAGTAAACTGCAGTAGCACATCAGTCATTCTCGCTGTGTGTCAGTTGAGCTATTGCCTCAAGTTTGGCAATGGAAAAACCTCTTCTGTCTCTATAGTGTCTGTGCTACTGTTGTGCCTCTAGAGCACCTGTAGTGTACACATAGGCTAAGTTCTTTCAGGTAAGTAACTTTGCTTTGGCTCAAAGATCCTTAATATGGGGTGGTTTGGAGGATGAAATCTTGATTTAGGGGTAGTTACTGATTTCTAGCCTAACTGCTGTAGAAGGAGTTAATACACAGCAGTCAAATACATAAACAGTTTCTGAATCAAAGGTAGATTTAGTTTACTGTTTTACACTGATTTTGAGCCAGGTTTAACTTGATATTAAAGGATCTTAGGACCATTAGTCAGGCCTTTTGAGTTATATACTGTGCTAATCTCTGAAATTGGACTTCAGGAGACTGATCTAATCAGTAACTGAGCAGAGAAGAGATGCTAGGGCCTTTGGCTTTTGTTGTGAGTAGACTTCTCCTCAGAGTAGGCAGCAGCTCTGGGCTTGTCTACCTAGGAAAATTTAGCAGTATAATTTTACTGCTGTAATTACACAAGTATTCCTCCCCATGTGGACACTTTCATATCAGAGGTTAGCTTATGTTGACCTGAGATTGCACAAGATCAGCATTTCCCAACCTATGGGTCAGGACCCAAATATGGGTCGCCATTACATTTCAAAAGGGTCGCCAAGTGTCTCCCCAGGTGGCTCTGCCCCATCTTTCCCCCGTTTTTGAATTGCCTTGGGTCACCAAGTGTTCCTGAATTGTCAGAATGGGTCCCCATCTGGAAAAGGTTGGGAACTGCTGCACTAGATGGACCTTGCATCTGTCCATTCTTATATTGCTTTGTGGGAATATTCACAAGTCCTCTGTACCAAGTTGGAACCCTCTAGAACAGTTGTGTCTGGGGGGGGGGCTATGTCTAGTCCATGCCAAGATTATATAAGGTGTTACAAACCTCAGTCCCCTTGTCAGCTATTCAAGTCTCGACTTCACCCTTTTTTTCCCCCTACCCTGCAATGCCTTTGCTTGTTCTAGTCAGGTTGCAGTTATTTCTACTTTAGAACCAAAGTTACAGTTAGGTATATCTCCATATAGATATATATTATATCGTAGAACTGGAAGGGACCTTGAGAGGTCAAGTCCAGTCCCCTGCCCTCATGGCAGGACCAAGTACCATCCCTGACAGATTTGCCCCAGATCTCTAAGTGGTCCCCTCAGGGACTGAACTCACAACCCTGGGTTTAGCAGGCCCTGAGCTGTCCCTCCCCTGTTCAAACAGAAGCAGGCAGGGCAGTTGCTGGGGTTAACTTCTAGAATAGTTACTTACTCTGAATTAGTGACTGAACTGGAGTATTTTCATAAAATGGAATCAGAGGGTTAGAAGGGACTGAAAGGGTCTTCTAGTCTCAGCCTCTGTCAAGATGTAGGATTTGTTGTCTAAATATTGGGTGAGTGAACCTAGCAACTCGTCTCTTGAGCTAGTCCAGTCCTTCATTCACAGCACTGGGAGTTGGGCCCTTCCAGGATGTGCCTTAGTTGGCATTGAGTGAAGCAAGATAGATCCCATCCTGCAAAAACCCACAGAAGAGGAAAGCTTTGTTTCACATCAGGAACACATTGGCATAGCCTCGTTAGCCCTTTTAGTAACATGTGCTTTATGCTTTACTAAGACACTGAACTTTGTCTTTGTTTTTAGGATTACGACCTTTGCATTAACTGCTACAACACTAAGAGCCATGACCACAAGATGGTTAAATGGGGCCTGGGCCTGGATGATGAAAGCAACAGCCAAGGAGAGCAACAGTCAAAGAGCCCCCAGGAATCACGTCGACTCAGCATCCAACGCTGCATCCAGTCCCTGGTCCACGCCTGTCAGTGCCGCAATGCAAATTGCTCATTACCGTCCTGCCAGAAAATGAAACGGGTTGTGCAGCACACCAAGGGCTGCAAGCGCAAAACAAATGGTGGCTGTCCTGTGTGCAAACAGCTCATTGCTCTTTGTTGCTACCATGCCAAACACTGCCAAGAAAACAAATGCCCTGTGCCATTCTGTCTCAATATTAAACACAAGCTCCGGCAGCAGCAGATTCAGCACCGCCTCCAGCAGGCTCAGTTAATGCGCCGAAGGATGGCTACTATGAACACCCGAAACGTGCCTCAGCAAAGTTTGCCTTCTCCTACCTCAGCAACGCCTGGTACTCCCACGCAGCAGCCAAGTACTCCACAGACACCACAGCCGCCGCCTCAGCCCCAACCCTCCCCTGTAAGTATGTCACCAGCTGGCTTCCCCAGTGCACCAAGAACTCAACCCCCTCCAACTGTTCCAGCAGGCAAACCTACAACCCAGGTGTCAGCACCTCCGCCTCCTGCCCAGCCTCCCCCAGCTCTGCAGAATGAGAGAGAAGCTGCCCAGCAGCAGCAGCAACTCTACAGGGTCAACACCATAAATAATGGTTTGCCTCCTGGGCGTCCAGGAATAGTAAACCCAGCAGTGGGTTCAGTGAACCAGATGCAGCAGGTTGGCATGAATGTACCCCGGCCTAACCCTGTAAGTGGTCCAGTAATGACCAACATGCAACCTGGACAGTGGCAGTCAACTCCAAGGAATGCCAAGACCGGTGATGCCGATGCCACCGCAGCAAACTGTCGCTGGGCCAAGAATGCAAGGTGTGCAACAGCCACCACGCAGCATTGCTCCAAATGCACTTCAGGACTTGTTGCGGACCTTGAAATCCCCTAGCTCTCCACAGCAGCAACAGCAGGTTCTTAATATCCTCAAATCCAACCCACAGCTCATGGCAGCTTTTATAAAGCAAAGAACAGCCAAATACGTGGCAAACCAGCCTGGGATGCAACCACAAGCAGGCATCCAGCCTCAGCCTGGGATGCAACAGTCTCAGCCTGGGATGCAGCAGCCAGGTATGCACACACAGCCTAGCTTGCAGACTATAAATGCAATGCAAGCGGGGGTCCAGAGACCGAGTGTTCCTCCTCAGCAGCAGGGAATAGGTGGCATGAACCCCCAGGGACAAGCGATAAACATTATGAACCCTGGTCACAATCCTGGCATGGCAAATATGAGTCCGCAGTACCGAGAGATACTGAGGAGGCAGTTACTGCAGCAGCAGCAGCAGCAACAACAACAACAAAGAGCTGCTGGCCTGGCA